TAAAAATATTTAAAAGGAAAGAGGTGTATGGTTCTTATTGTCAATGGGATGGAGAAAGTGTTGTCATTTTAGAAGCCTGAGAAGCTGTTTAGGTAAGTGCAAGAATGACATGAAGGAAACCAAGGAGAAAGTTAAATGTGAAGAGGGAGTCAAAAGTGAAATCAAATTATACCCCCAACTTAAGCTCTTTACATAAGGTCTAGTTTTGGAGATTTAGCCCAAAAATATTTTAGGTATTTGTACTGTCTTTTCCTCTCTGTATAAGGTTGAAGGAACAACAGTAGGACAGCATCAGAGAAAAGGCAGGGCAAATGAATTGCTGGTAGAGAAATTTAGAATATGGTGATTGATCAGGGAGAGGCTAGCTAAAAGACTTAGTCATGGAATAACTTGAAATGGTCCCTGAACAAATAGAAGTTAAGGGAGGGCTATCTATATTATGGACCATTCTTTAGATTGTAGATAGTTTTTCAGTTTGAAAAGAAGAGAAGGAGGAGGGGTATACTGTAATGTGGAAAATCTATGGGCAGACCCATTATGTCTATGTGAACAAATAACAGGCTGGAGTACAAGCAACAGGATTAGTACAGAGTATTTTTAAGGGATATCTTAATCCCCACCCTCTACTTCAGATTTGTACCATGTTTTCCCGAAAATAAGACCCAGTCTTATTTGGGGGGGAAATAAGCACTAGGGCTTATTTTTGGGGAAACATTATTTCAGGGTGATCAGCCTGGCTGGGTGCCCCATTCCCCAGTGCACACACAAGAACCGGCAAGTGTGCGGGGACTGACGGTATCCGGCAGCAGCTGTATCCCACTGGTCCCTTGGTCAGCGCACTCTGGGGCTGCGCAGAGCAGAAGGCAGGGGATCCCGACGGGCTGCAGGCAAGCCAAGAGACACGGAGCTGAACGTCCCGTGGCCACCCACCACTCCAGCCCACCAATGTTCAGCTTTTCTGCAGCCCGCACAGCGCACCCGGACCACCTTCCTCACCCTGCACCTCTGCCTTTGTCTGCTGCTGGTGTAGCCATGCGAAGATGATCCTCCCATGGCTGGCTGCCACTCTGGTCCATCACTGCTCGGCTTTCCTTCGGCCCACACAGCATGCCGAAATCACCTGCCTCCCCTCACCTCAGCTTCCGCCTGCTCCTTGCAGGTGAGTTACACAACTCACCTGTGCTATGCAGGCTGTGGCTGCTGCCAGACACCATTGGCCTGTGCTCACTCGCCACCTCCTATGGTGGCTGTTGTGACTCAGCAGTTCTGCTGTGAGTTTTTTCTGAATACAAGATTCACTATGCAGCTGGGGCTTGTGGGAGGAAGTTTGGAGATAAAAGGACGGATGCTGCCACACCCCAGTCGCTGGAGTCAACGTCGTTCCTTCGTGCGTGCCTTGGTTTGTACAACATTGTTTGATAATTAATCGTGATTTATGCCTGTTACACTTGGATAAGTGCTTTGGCTGTTTGTAACCCTGATTCATAGAGACTTTGGAAGAAGTGTTTTGCTTT